CGATTTATTAATTTTACAATTTAGTATTAAATTAACTTCAGTTCACTCGTCAATGTCACAATTTACCTAGATGAGTTCACCTCATAACTTTTACAGAACTAACCCAAATGGTTTTGTCCACTTCAGTCTTACTATGCAGCAGCCAAAGGAACACCACTAAAGGCAAATTCCTACTGGTATACTGACGACTCCAAAACCGACAATGGTACGGGAGCTGGGGGTCTTTGGGATGAACCCCAAGACTGAACTGACACGGTAAACCTAGGTAAGTATGCTACAGTTTTCCAGTTTGAAATCATGGCGATTGAACAATGTGCCAGAGAAATAAAAATACATTCCCGGAAGATAGCCATTTTTTCTGACAGCCAGGCAGCACTCAGGGCCTTAGCCTCATGCGAGGCGAATGCAAAGAGTGTTTGGCACTGCATGTAGGCCCTGATGGAAGTCAGCGACATTAATGACGTGACTCTGGCACGTGTTCTTGGACATTCGGGGCATACAGGCAACGAAAAGGTTGACACGTTGGCCAAAAAGGGAGCCAACATGGATTCTCTGGGCCCAGAACCCTACTGCGGCCTAGCAGCCTGCCACAAAAGAGGATACATCTTAAAATAGATACTTAATGAGTCCAAAACCTGATTTTGCAATACCACCGGTATGAGGCACGCGAAGAGATTCATAAAAAGACCATCCGCAAAGCTTACAAAAGAATTACTGGAAGGCAACCGCCACCGAACCAGGATTCTGGCTGGACTCCTGACAGGGCACTGCCACTTAAGAAAGCACATGCACCGGATTCAGGTCAGATACTGCCAGGAAGAGGAGGAGACCGGAAAACACATTTTATTTTCTGCGATGGTCTAAGTAGGTGAAGATTCTTGCAACTAGGACAAGAAAAAACACAAGTAAGATCCTACACCAGGGAACCGCTGGCAAAGCAGTGGAGGCTGGTTAATAACCTGTAGCTGGCCAGTGAGTTATAAATAACAGGAGAGCACAATAGATCTATTCAGGTCGAGGTGCAGTAGGCCTTGTGGCCGCCTCTTTTATCCCCATACTCTATCCCTACTATGCAGCAGGCCGCTAGCCTTGATGTTCGGGTGAACACGTAGGCAGTACTAAGTAATAAGTAGTTAATAAGCACACCGTGTGATTTACGTGTCGATGTGCGGATGCTCAGATCTCTATTGCAACATATTTCCTAGAACTTTATTTTCAAGCCGTTCTGCTATGATTGTATTGCTTCTTTTGGCAAGCCCCCAATGTTGTATACCATACATCCATACAGGTTTTAATATGTGATTAAAATTATTTTGTATTGACAGCCGGGGATTTCCTCCAAGTAGCCGATAAATTGCCGGTATTTCAAATCAAAGTATTTCCTTTCTTTATATATGCTTTTCAATTTAATTTTTATCTACTATCACTAAATATTTTACGGACTTCTGGGAAGGAACTACATTACCCCTGAATAATACGATTGGTTTATCGGTTAATTTTCTATTTTCAAATTTACATGTATAGATTTACGGTCATTTATTTGGAGCTTCCAAGCTGATGACTGCCATTTGCAATCGCTCCGAACTGTCATCGGCAAATGTCAGGACGGTTATGTTTTCGATCAGTGTCATAGGTTAGGCGGTTACCTTATGCTAAGCCAGCCTTGATTTAAAAAAAATCAGTGAATTCGTCTTGTTGTTTAACATGGAACAGTCTTTCCGAAAGATAGGAGGTCAAAAGTCTAACATATAGTTTTGGGAATATTTTTTTAGCTTATGTATTAAACATTTGTGCCAAACCTTGTTAACGGCTTACGGTCTAGGAATAAAGCTAAACGTATATTTTTGTCTTCTACACTTTTCTCTATAATATCAGTGATCACTGTGTCTATGTGTCTGATTTATGGTTGACCGCTTGGACCTGAATTCAGAATGATAGCTTGGTATAATGTACGTTTTTTTCAATAAAAGGTTTCAATCTTTTTAGGAAAACTTTTTCCAATAGATAGATGCAGATCACCGGAAGAAATGTGATGTGGCGGTAGGATGATATTTCGTGTGGTGGTTTACCTGGTTTTACTATCATGGAGATCTCACGAACGTTATATACCTAAATTTTATTTTTGGGTTAAATAAGTTCGTCACTTTTATAATTCCTTTTTCGAGAAGTTTTTTTCAAAATTTCTCCTGTTATTAGGTGAATCCTAGAACTTTCCTTAAATTTAGATTTTTTTTGTACTAATGTAATCGATTTTAAAATTCGTAAGTTTGTGTCTAGGCTACATAGGTACACGGCTGTCCCCAAACATATTACTTTTCAAATATAAGATCTTTTTTGTAATAAAAGGGAAAACATTAGTCATTTTAACGAGAAATGTAGCATGCAGACTAAATCAAGTCAGGGTAGGGTGTACTATGTTGAGGCAAACATACATTGAAATATTGAGAGAATAGATGTAATAAGTAGTTTTTAGAGAAAGTAGAATTGAACTGGAACAACTAATTTCAACCAAGCTTACATTCTAATAACCTTTATCAGTAGGTAGCAATGACCATATTTAACGAACAAAGGAATACATGATTGTTAATTAACGAATTAAATGTAATTAATACAAGTTGGAAGCTGACAAGATTAAAGAGATTACTGTTATTTTAGGATTGACGGACTTTGATATATATATTTAGGTCGACGTCAAGGGGTTAATCAGAATATGGGTACATAAGTGAGGGTAGAAAACGATGGCCAGGGGGGCGGGGTGGAGAGGAGAGTTTTGATATCTTTTGGACATTGCTTATCTGAAGTCTCCAGGTGGGTTAGCTAATCCCGGGCCTGCTCTCTCGAGATATACCTGCAATTGAATAATTCATACAGTCTCTCTTCTCCGGGGCTCTAGGTGGGGTTAATCTGTCAAGATGGAGTCCAAGGGGGTGAGAGATGGGGCTAAATATTTGTGAGGGCGTTGTTATCTGTGAGTCGCAGGGGTTCACGGAGGGCCACGAATTAATCACGAGAGTAGTGACATGTCCGCGAGACTTTGTCATTTCCAGACAGACAAATACCTCTGCTGACCGCTCCCTCATCGCATTTGTTACTCTCGTACGTCCTGACGGGAAGAAATCAAACAAGAGATGAGCTTTCCCACCCACCCTTCTCTTATCTTCACATTGGAGATTATTTCTTTCTATCTATCATCCTGCTTTGGCCTTTTAGCTTTTGTCCCACTCTTAGAAAAAATACCACCTATACTATTTTTTTAATATCTAAAATAAAATCATCGCTTTGCTTAAAGTTTTACATCACCCAATGAATAACACAGACATATACAATGTGAAGTTTAAAGTATCATCAAGAACAATTAAATTATTATTAATTTAAAAAATATGAGAAAATAACGATTTGTACGATATGCAATTTTTATGAACACGCTGCTCAAACCTTTCTTTTAAAATGTAGTAGAGATGTAAACAGATTATATGCAATTTTGCTAAAAAGTATTTCAAAATTATCGAATTTGATTAAAATATTTTCTGGAATTTGATCATAATTAAAGGGGTGGAGACTTGTGGTAAAGAAAAATTCAAAATCTACAATTTTAGCATATTTTATGCTATACTGTCAGTATTTACGCTATTAAAAAAATAAGCTGTTGAATTATCTACAAACCATACAAATTTTAACAAACAAACGTCTTTTATACTGAATTTAATATAAATTCATTATAACTTTATACATATTCTTTGGATTAATCCCAAAAGAACTTTGGTACGCAGAGGGAAGCCTGCCTTCCGAATGAACTATTAACATATACTTTGTTTTGGATTGCTATATTTTCCGATATTTTACTTATATGCATTTTTAAATTAACGAATCTGATTAAAATATTTTCTGGAATTCAATCATAATTAAAGGGTTGGAGAGTGGTGATAAAGAAAAATTAAAAATCTACGGTTCGAGTAGATCTTACAAATTTTCTGCTATACTGTCAATCAATTAATTAAGGTTTTTAATTCACATAAAAAAGTCAGTGTCACGAGCGGGATTCGAACCAACGACCTTCGACTTGATACGACGTTACTCTCTACTTAAGCTATCGCGACCTCGATCCACTCGGGCATCAACTTCCCATCTCAACCCCACCTTTTCAATTTTCCCTACTTTTTCGCCATTTTCTAAGGAAGTCGGATAGCTCAAGTGGTTTAGTAGCGGCGTATCAAACCGAAGGTCGTGGGTTCGAATCCCGCTCGTGACACTGACTTTCTTATCTCAACTAAAAATCTTAATTAATTGAATGACATTAATTGGTCAAGCGGACCACGAAACTAGTGAATATACTGTCAATATTTACGCTATTTAAAAAACAAAAACAAAAAAGAACAATTAAACGTCTTTCATACTGAATTTAATAAAAATTCATTCTAATTTAATACATAGACTTAGGATTAATCTAATCCCAAAAGAACATAGGTATGCAGTGGGAAGCCTACATTCAGAATGAACTATTAACAAATTATACTTCGTTCGTTTTGGATTGGTATAAAAAGCAAAGGCCGACTGAATTATTTTTTAACAAAAGTAGTTTTTGACTTACTTCACTGGAAACGTTTAATTTTATTTAATTCAATCTTACATTTTTTTTTTAAATTTTACTATTACTCATTTAATACTTTATATTCGACTGATATATGAAAACTTTGAAATACACAAAAGCCGAATTTTATTTACTTTTGTATTTTATTTATTTATTTTTTACCGGCTCCTGGGCAGAATGCTCAAACACATGTATAATATTTTACGACCTAGTATCACCTATAGTTTAACTGAAATCGGTGATCCTACATCCGCAGTAAGGAGGATAAAAAATCTTGGTTATCTGACGAAGTCACTCACATTGAAAATTTAACAGTCTGATATTTCAGATCGGGCAAATTTACTGCAAATTATTATTATTATTATTTTTTTATGTTGTCTTAAAAGACTACCTTATAAGGACATATGGCATGAGTGTCAGGCACTCATTTCTGTTCGAACAGATGCTTATTACAATAATTTTTTTATCGATTACTTTTAAAATTCTTAATCCGACACCCTCAGAGGGAATAAGAAAGACAGGAAGAGGAAATCAAATCTCAAGGGGGATCAGATTTTTTTTTGCACGCCGTGAGCAATGTGGAATTAGTCATTGAGCTGATATCTTTTTATGTCGACGAAAACGAGTGCCGTGCGGATTCAGCAAGTGGCACAATGAACCTACTCTGCTTCACTCCAACCAGAAGTTGAAAGTGCGGGGCTGGGGGAGGTTCGCTTATTTTTAAGTGCACCGGCTGAAAAGAACTCCCTTGACTTGAATCCGATATAAAGCTCTCTTTTTTCAGATTCAATCCCAAGAAAGCTCTCGAATTGTTAAATATTAATTAAAACAATCAGTCAGATTTTTTTGGACGGTCTGGAACCCTTTGAGTTACTACTGGAGTAATTTTTTTATGAGAATTTTTCAAGATTTCTACAGAAATTTCTTATCCAATGTCAATTCTAGTAGTTGAGAGGTAACTATCGAATTATATATTCTAATATTATTTTATAACTTAGGACTTGATTTTAACGCCAGTTTTGATTGTCATAATCTGAATCATCCATATGTTTCTCAACATTTAGTTGTGTGTTGTCTTGTCCAAATATATGGTCAGTTTTTAAAAAGATGTTTTTTGTCAACTTTGAAAATTTGCGCACAAAAATTTAAATGGATCTAATAGGTACTCTCAAAGTGTTTAGATTGAAAGTGGGGTGAAGGCCCCTCAGCCGGGTGGGGTTCGAGTGAGCAGTTAAACCCTTATCTTCTACTCTCTTAGGTAATGCGAATAAAATGTATTTTTAATTTCTTATCCGAAGGCATTGTTTTAAAAAAAGCATATCTTGCATGGCGGGAGCAAAATCTACCACATTCCACACCATTTGTCTAACAAACTTTCCAGCCTTTTTTTTAAAACTCTGCTCCTCCCTCTTTTTATCATTTTTATAGCCCTGTTTCTCATTCCTTTCCATTTCTTTATCAGGCCAAAACTTCTTTCTTCTTTTTTAAAAGACAGAGATAAGTAAATAAGACTCAGAGAGCAGAGTCATTTTTTACACGAGGTGAAATTGTTATCTGAGAGTCTGCCGTTGTTTTACCTCGTAATGACTGATCCGTCCTAGTGTTACCTTGACAACAACTTTACTATCTGAGATAAACTCAGAGGAATAACAAAAGATCCAAAGATGAGTGATAACGCCTCGGCGGTGGAAAAATAAAATCCCAGCACCCACTTGGCAAAACAGAATTTACACTGCGAAAAATAATTTTAAAAAATTTCTTTTAATTTGTAGTACATAATGACCGTTAATCGATAATTATTCAGAAATCGTGAGATGCGGACTGATGCGATTTAGGTTTAGAAAAATATTTTCTTTATCGTGCCAACGTTTCGATCTTTATTGAGATCATCTTCAGTGCTCAAAGTGTGTGTATTCTGTATAGATGTGTCACTGTTGTGTGTGGTGTTGAGAGTGACACCTATACAGAATACACACACTTTGAGCACTGAAGATGATCTCAATAAAGATCGAAACGTTGGCACGACAAAGAAAATGTTCTTCTAAACCTACATCACACCAGACCGCACCTCACCATTTCTAAATAATCATTTTCTTTTAAGAATAAAATCAGAGATAAATCGTTAAAAAAATAAAACGTGAGAGTTTCAATCCTACCTTTTGATACCTTGTTCGCGAAAGTTCAAGGGTAAAACAAACTATAGATTCAGTGTAAGATCAATTATTAAAAAATCCCACGTATGACATTTATATTAGCAGAGAGACGGATAAACAGATTGTTAAAATGCGTAGAGATAATAACCTCGTGAAAGTCTTTAATTTACTATTTACAGGCTGTGTTTGCATTCAAGCCTGTAGACTGTCTCAATCAAGAGATATGTGTGTGTGTGTGTGTGTGTGTGTGTGTGGGAAAGAGAGAGAGAGAGAGATAGAGATAGATAGATAGATAGAGATAGAGAGAGAGAGAGAGAGAGAGAGAGAGAGAGAGAGAGAGAGAGAGAGAGAGAGAGAGAGAGAGAGAGAGAGAGAGAGAGAGAGAGAGAGAGAGAGAGNGAGAGAGAGAGAGAGAGAGAGAGAGAGAGAGAGAGAGAGAGAGAGAGAGAGAGAGACGGACTGACAGACAGCCATAATCGTTATATTATTATCCTAAAAGAAATATATTTACATCCACCTAGAGTCAACATTACTTCATTTCAGCAATTCATAAAAAAACTATTTTAGAAATTCAGTTAAAAGATTTTTCTTAACATGCCAGCAGTTACTACAGTAGTAAAGTAGCCAATACATAATGCTTACGTCTGATTTTGAGGAACTGGCAAATAGTTCAAATAATGCCATATACATTTTTGAGTAAAAGAAAAAGGTAGAGAGAAAATGGGAAAAAAGACAGAGAAAAAAAGATAGATTGATAAAGAAGTATTGATTGATTGATAGGATATGTAACTGAAAGAGACAGAAAGAGAGTGTGGGAGAGAAAAAGAAACATAGATGGACAAATTTATACAGACAAATAGATATATTGAAAGGTAGGCAGTGAGAAATTGTGTGAGAGAGAAAGGGAAAAACGAGATAAAGAAATAAATATAAATAGTTAAATACATAGACACATAGATCAATAACTAGGTAGATAAGTACTTTTTCATACAGTGCGTACGTAGGTAAGAACAATGAAAAGCTGTGAACACATTTCAACAAAATTGATATTTCAATTTTATCATTATCGAGAAAATTGATCAACGTCCGTTTTCTTTTCAAATATTTAAAAAGATTACACATATTCCCGCACAGTTTAGAAGATGCCGACGATTCAGTTTGCTTAGTAAAATAACCTCATGCCTTACGTTTGGGAGGAGACATGATTAGGTATCTGTGAGAAGGAAGGGGAACACGTTTTAGGTACTTGAAGACAAAACTTTTTATAAAAAATTAAAAGTGGGAGGTGCGATGCGGGAAAGAATTATGATTTACCGGAATTATCAGCATAATTACCAACCACCAATTCGAAATGTCGATTAATTTTGTCGACACATGCCGCTTTTAGGCGCTCCTAACAGTAACTAGTCAACTCCCAGTTTGATAAAAGGTATGTTTCCAACGGAAAATAACAATTCAATATTACTTGAACACTCGATGAAAAATCTATTTGAGTATTTTTACCGATACTACAAAAAGTACACGATACAGTAGTTGTATCGAATGACAATATTCGATGTCAAAAGTACTGGGGATCGAAAGAAAATACTCAATACCTTAGTCATATCGATTGGTATCGCACGTCACTAGATCCGAGGCTCGTAGAACCCGAGGTTGTAGATAGGTAAATAGATATACAGATAGATGAATAAGTAGAGAGAAGGAGAATGATAGTGTAATAGATAGATAAAGAAAAGATCGAGTGTGTGTGTGTGTGTGTGTGTGTGTGTGTGTGTGTGTGTGTGTGTGTGTGTGTGTGTGTGTGTGTGTGTGTGTGTGTGTGTGTGTGGGAGAGTCGTGGGTTCGATTCCAACCGTTGCCCCTGGCTTTTTTCTAGCACCACGTCGTCCCATAAAAATGTGCATACGCAGCATCTTACGACTATCCCAATGCTAGTATGCACGATGATAAGGTCATTAAAAAAAATCTTGGAAAACATGAAATTCTACGCCGTCCAACCTCTGATGTAAGCATCTCGACAAAAAGTTTGGCCTTGTTGCCGTAAGTATTTGTCACTTGTCATCTACATTGAACCCACGTTGTCTCTCTCTGCCCTCGCACCAGACCTATCTCAGAAATAGCTGACCATTTTTGTCATAGTGTCCCACAATACCTGTGATGATGGGGGGGGGGACTTCGTATGACTCAATGTGCGACCTGTTTACACTGCGAACGGATCTTTACTTTTCATGACTATTTTGTCATATTGACAGTCAAATGAGCAGACATTGGCAGTGAAGTACACATATGTATATGCTAGAAATAAAAATTAAGCAATAACAATAAGTTGTTCCGTGATTATGCGTGTTATTAATGCATATTATGGTAAACTCATTACTTTTCATATCAATATTTTTTTTTTAATAAGCTATGTATAACATTTTTTGATTGATCGCTATAATCACTTGTAAGCCGATCCTCGTTGTTATTCCCTTATCAGAAGCGTTCCGGCATATGCCTTTATATCAAGCCTTCAATTGATATAAAATTTATATTCATCCAACTGGAGTTCGTGATAATGAAGAAACACGTCTGAAATTAATCATCAGCGGATAATAGGCGGACAAGATTTTTCGATTTATTAACGTCTCTCATCAGACTAACGGCAAATTTCGGTCAGATTGCAATATTACAAAGTGTTTGATTAGGTTTCGTGGTCCGCTTGACCAAATAAATTATTTTCAATTAATTAAGGTTTTTTGGTTGGGATAAATAAGTCAGTGTCACAAGCGGGATTCGAACCCACGACCTTCGGCTAAATCCGTGACACTGACGTTTTTATCTCAACCAAAAAACCTTAATTAATTGAATATTACAAATTGTATTGATTTTATGTTTGCATTGCAACTCGAATCGAGTAAAACAATGAGTATTTTATTTCTTTTCTTAATGTTGATATTCATGAATTGGAGTTTACCAGATTTATGTTGCAATCAATGACAGAGGTTTTCCAAAAGATTCTCACCTGAAACAAAATAAAAGAAATAATTTTTTCAAGTTATTAATTAATTAAAATTATCCCAAAGCTTTATAAAAATTTAAGTTTCCCATCAGCTTATCGACTTATTAATTTGTTACCCGTTCCTTCTAAATTATTCAAAAATTCATGCACAAAAAATCTAGCCAGATCATCAATTTGGTTTTCGAACCCATCATTTCACTTTTCATCACCTTCACAGTACTTCATGTTTTGAGAAGAAACCGAACACGACTGGAGTGTTTATACCGACGAAGTATGGCATGAGAAATTGATGTACTGATTAAACATATTTTTTTCCCAGGCCTATGATCACATTATACAATCATATCTCAAGGAGAGATTTTTCGCTATAAATCTGGGATCGGGGACTTCTAAAATAAAGGAGGTACTTGCGGGTGTGCCACAGGGTCACAAGTGAGAATGCACTTTCTCCCAAATGCGCCTATGCCACCGCAATATTAACAAATCCTCCCCCTTCTACACAGTCTTCCCTTATGTACAAAACCACTTGTCAACAATTTAAAAATGTAGCAATCTTTAAAAACTAAAGTTCAACCAGTCAAAATCACGACACGTATCTTTTACACCGTGAGGATTTTCCTAGCGTATACAAGAAACGTATACATTGGCATACAATGAACCTGTTCATCGATCCGACAAGTAATATTTAAGACCTTTAATAGAAGACTAACTTGCAATCCACACATAAAATTGTAGAAATAGACACTTAACAAACGATGTAAATTTCTTTACTACCTACTGAACCGATGATCAAAATTACTATTAAAATCAAAACTTTACACATACACATACTCAACCTATTTGATGTACGGGTGCCAAGTTTACGGATCGGCCAAATATTACGATATTCAAAGATTAGAAAGTTTTCTCTCGAAGATTTTACGGCTAATTGATTCTGCCTCTTATTATCTAAACAATAAGACACTTTGCGGAGGTTTTCAACTACATTTACATCCATGAAAACCTGTTACAGACGTTTTTACGGTAAATCTCAAGATAACAGAAAAACATGATTACTCCATTGCCACAATTTGACCTAGATGACTGAAAAGAATATGGATCAGAGACCTCTGGAATTAATCCAGAGAGGCCTCCAAGGGTAGTTTTCTATATGAATTTCACATTCACCAATTGAAATCCAATCTGCTTATTGCATATAATACATATGCAGTTGAAGATGAAAATAATCTAAGTAAAAAACTTATATAGTGCTATTTTTTTTCTTTATAAAGAAAACACATCATGCATGCAAAAACTTTTCCAACATCGTTCTTTTGTAACATTATTAACAACCGGTATCGATTAATAAACCCTCAACGTTCAAAAAGGCTATAAAAAAGCAAACGGTTTCAATATCTTTAACGGCCTATAAAATTGCAGAACTCATTGAATGAACTCTCCGTATTATTATACAATTAAATTTCCGATTGTCATACGTTTTTATAATTTTTACGTTGTTGGTTTTAGATGGAACTAATGGGTTATTTGAATTATTCATGTTTGGACAAGTAAGGTCATTTGTGTCTGCATGCTACAACAATTCACCATTCGGTGGATTCATACATATAAACGGAAACATAGTATAACAGCGGGAAGAAATTATCATTAGAACCTAAATGGTAAAAGACGCCATAACACTTCCGCCTGTTTTTACTCTAATTTCCATACCACTTCATTCTATTCATCCCAAACATGCTAATAGGATTGAACAAAAAACAACATAATTATAAAATTGTAACTGAGTTTCCCGGAGATTTCACCGGTAAAAGAAGCTTTTTATGTTTACACGCATTAAATGATAATATGTAAAAAGGCAATGCACACACGTTTGGTTTCGTTTCGAGGCACAAAATAAGCGTGTGAAGATATGGATAGGGATAGGGATAGGGATAAAAGAGATGGTCACAAGGCCTTCTGCACCTCGAACTGAGCAGATCTAGTGGGCTGCTCTAGTTCTATTATTTACTGGCCTGATCAGGTTGTTAATCAAGCCTTGCTTCAAGGATGCAAAGGATGCTTCAATACATTTTAACCTTAAAGGTCTAAGGTGAGTTTTTACTTTTCCCATTGGTAAGAGAGTTTTTCTATAGTTCTCTCTTCTTTTTAAGGTGTGTACTACTGATTTGATAGGGTTGGTGATCTCTTGTTGCAGTTCTATATGCTTAAAGCGGGAACACACTTACTCGATGCAACGTTATGCGACGCTACCGGACGCTAGATATAAGGATAATATAATAATATCAACATTCATCAAAAGACAAGAACTTTATTTAGACCAATTAGAGGTTAATTGATTGGCTTAAATACGAGTTTTCATTTATAAATTTGGATAATAACATAAAAAATTGAAATGTCGCCCAGCTTGCATTCCTAGAATTATTCAGCAAAATATATTGTAAAGGTTTACCATTGAGGTTGTTTATTATGTTTTAATACACAATAGAGTTAATACACTTTATTATGCTTTACTATACTATGTCTCTAACCAACATTATATCCATGGAAATGCTGAATGGTGTAGTGAGTGCGGTGTTCAATCCTTTTTAAAAAGATACTTAGTTCCTACTCACAGTAAGTTTTTTCTAACGATCCGGATTTCGAGCTTTTAGCACATCATCAGCTTGAAGTTCTACAACTTGATGGTGAGCTAAAAGCTCGAAATCCGGATCGTTAGAAAACAATTTACTGTGAGCAGGAACTATCTTTTTAAAAAGGATTTAACATGATATCCTTTTATTTTGTTTATGCTTTGTGGTGCCTTATAAGTGGTATGAGTTTTATTAGGGCATATTTCTGTTTGTAGGATATGTACGTTATTGACATCATACATGGTGTATTCACGATTTTTGTGTTAACCCTGTTAACTCCGTTAGATTCTGTTAGATCGAGAAAAATGTTGACGTAGGCTGGTAAGAATCGGCTAGTTAACATTGCTCGATCTAACAGGCCAGGGCCAATGAATGTTAGATGTTAGGTCGAAAATGTTGCTATCCGTTAGGACGTAGGTAACCAACATGGCAGCCATGAAATAACAGCTGTTTTTGTTGACACGTATTTTAATTCTTAAATACGCATTAATTAAATCAGACCAATACTTTTCTTTTGTTAATTTCTGAGCTGTCATTATACACACATTCATAAAAGATGCATCCCCTATCCTATTATCCTATTCGTTGTAGGCTGTTAGATGTTAAGCTGGGAACACACCCGATGCAACGCCATGCGACGCTACCCGACGCAAGTCCAAAGTCCAATTTTCCATAAGATTGTATTACCCCGTGTACATCTGCCCGATGCTACGCAACGATACCCTCCTCTACGCTCTGCGATCCCCACTGTCCAGATTTTCGTCGAGTAGCACAGAATACAGTCGAAGACAAAAGAACAGGACACTCATATTTTTATTGCAAACTACATGTATTATTGTCGTTATATTGATTACAACATATTTTAATATAAACAAAATTAACCGAGATCAAAAATTCATTAGTTTTTATTTACAAAAAATAATTTTAATAGTTTGGTAGAAAATTGATCAAAACATCGGAATACCATTTTTTGATATAATAAATTTAACTAACAATTTATTACACGGTTTTGCTCATAAAATTTAACTAACAATTTATTACACGGTTTTGCTCCTAAAATTTAACTAACAATTTATTACATGGTTTTCCTCATCACATTACACGGTTTTCGCGAGTAGCGTTAGAACAGGACACTCATTTTTTTTGTAGTTTATTTCAAACTATGTATATGTAATTATGTCCTGATATTAATTACAACATTCTTATTTTAATGTAAACCAAATTAAACGAAATAAAAAATTCACGAAGTTTTATAAAAATTATTTAATTATGATAGTTAGGAAGAAAATTTATGAAAACACCAGAATAACTTTATTTAAAACAATTAAGTTTAACAAACAATTTATTACATAGTTGTGCTCAAAAAATTTAACTAACGATTTATTACAAGGTTTTGCTCAAAATAGTGCATTAAGAACAAAAGACACGTTGCGATTGTGACAGTGATTATTATGATATACGCTGTGTGACTGTGCGTGGCGTGCGCTTGGCGTCGCATAGATGTGCACACCCTACCAAAACGTGACAAGGAGTCGGGTAGCATCGCGTAGCGTTGCATCGGGTAAGTGTGTTCCCCGCTTAAATTATGCACAACAATCTGTCTATATGGGAATAAGTGGTCTTTTGTCATTTGCCAATCTTTCATTATATTCCATGCGTACGCCGAAAAAAAATTGATCTAACACGATTGTGTTCAACGTCGCCATTCGATTTTTTCCATCCCCCTCATCCTCATTTATAGGGGCAAGCAAGGGGAGGCCACTGATGTTAAAAATGTTTAATTACGCTCCTCGAGCGTTTTTATTCAGTAAACTTTTTAATATCTCTTCTACTGAGATAGCGAGGCTACGAGCGATAAACCCGGACCCTCAAGTTTTCAAATTAAGATTCCGTGTGATGATTTTTTCGCTAGATGGAGAAGCCCGTGGAGGTGGCTGGCTGGGGCTTATCAGGACAGGGACCCGACTCTGTTATCTCTACGGCAATACCAGTCTTAACCCCCCGCGCCGAAACGACACCACCTCAACAACAACTCTCTCTTTCACTCTCCCCCTCACTCACTCTCTCTCACTCTTAGTTTTACTTTTATGCAGTATTTAAAAATATATCTCTGTGTAAAGGATGATTATTTGGAACATTTCAACCGCCCTAAAATCCTTCCTCTTTTTTCTTTTTAAAAGCAACCATCTTTAAGCTGAATTTCACTTTTCCTCGGTTCTTTTGTTTTGCCGAAAGTTCTTCCGCCAAATTATCATATCAACAGCCCAGTTGTGAGCCTCTTTAATAATTTTTTTCTACGAACTAACTAGATTTTGGGATATGCAACAAGATGGTATGAAAAGACCTGAACTGTCTGAGCTTGTACTTTCATATTTGTTATAATAATAAGTATCAAGTTGGCATCCTGTTCATCACAGATAACAAGGAAGGCTTCACAACTATCTTTTATGTCTTAACGCTAAAGGTCAACGCTACAGATCGAATCCACGACGTCCGTGACAGATTAAATTTGTTGTTGGGTTGACCGAAAGAATTTGCATTGAGTTCATCAGGTTGAATTTTACCAGTAGTTCAATCTATGGTGAACTATGGTCAAAATACTTCACGCTTTATTTTAGACTCCATAGACTTGATAGGGACTCCCATTTTATTTTTACAAGTTGAAACTTTTCTTTGTTCGTAAGTAGAAAATTTATGTTTGTATGTGTGTTGGTTAGTGACCTGTTTTTTCAAAATTTGTTAAGTCGTGAGGAACGGTCAAGAATGGGGTAGTTTAGAAAAACACCTTTCTTTTTTTGGCCTTGTTTTGATCTTTATTCGGGTCATCTTCAGGGGGTAAATTACAATATGACTCCACAAGAATAGCACCACACTTTAAGCGAGTAAGAAACACTTGGTTCAAAATTTATATTTACATCTGAAATTTTTTCTAATTAACATATGTTTTGTAATTTACCCGAGGCTCTGAAGATGACCCGAGTGAGTAAAAGGTCGAAACGTCGGGAAAAAAAGAAAAAAAAGGTGTTTTCTAAACTACCTCATTCTTGACCGCTACTCACGACTTCAATAATTTATATTTGTAGTTTGGCCGTTTCTGATCGATTTGGTGCCTATCCCTGCTAGTTTGGCCTGTCAGACTTGTTTTGGCATTTTACTGCAAATTATACAAGCTAAGTATTGCCGGCAAGGTTTTACTATAGAAACGATTCAGTACACGCATATCAATCAATCAATCTTCTTGACAAAGCATATATAGATTATCTTCTGCCACTCCCAATATTTTCATGAGCCTATTTCATATCCACAAGAATACATCCTTACGTTGAAAGTTTAGGCGAGACTTTCTTTACGAAGCCTGCCTGTGTACTGGGAGATTGTTCCACCAGGTATGGCTAATTTGATCCATTCCTCAATCGCTCTTCTTTTATGGCTACTTGAAATTTTACGAAAGGGTTCGGATTCTATTAGTGAGTTTTGCTATTTGATGCCTTTCGGGCACGATTATTGGTCTTTTCATTGCCTGTCTACCCCTTTGAGCCCTGGGTCACAGACAAAAGCGTTTGTTCTCTATTCAAATTTTACCAGTGCTCTCACGCGAACTCTTCATTTTATCTCAGGTAACGCAAGTGTTTTGAGCTAAGCCCGGCTTCGTTATCGGAGTAGATGGATATCTTTTAGTATCATATAAACATCATTTAAGGCCTGGTAAGGAGATATCCATATGATCCCATAACCACAGTTTCTGAGTGAAAACCAGTGTCAAAGTTTGTTGGTTTGGTTTTTCAGCCAACAGTGTTTCAAAATGGTAATTCATTCTTGTATTTGATTTGTGCAATTAAAAACTAAGCGAGATGATGCCATGGATTGCCCGGAATTGAATCTTTTAATGTCTGTTTTGAGCGTCTCCTATTGCGATCCAATTGATGCTTCATCTGAAACTGTAGAAGTGGTTGGTTTAGTGCCAACTTCAGTCGCTCATGTTTCATGTAATACTAACAGAGGCTGTCTTTTGGGTTCAAGCTTCCGTACTGCAGTAACTTCTCTAGCGTTTTGTGACAATAGACAATAATATAATATAAAAGTTGGTTCTTTTGGTCAGACACGTTTCGGCGTCAGACTAGGCCTGAGAAGCCAGATGATTCGAGATCAAACGACACATGGAGTCTATATACTAAATTATTATAAAGGTATTATCATTTTTGTATGCCGTATTTTTAGTTTTTTGTTCGACATTTCAAGATCTTTAAAAAAAAGCAACATTTTTAATAAAAACACGATTAACAACAAAGATTAATAAATCTATTCTATATGACTACTATTATCAGTTAGTTCCAAGAAAAACATAATTTAAGAAATGATAAAGATGTTTAATAAGGGTGCAACTGTCTTTTTCCGTTGAAACAAATGGTAATAATATTCAAAGTTAGTATTATAAATGGACAAGGAGAGAAGAAAATAATTAATATTT